CTCTGTATCCGCATCTCCTCCTCCCTCTGTATCCGCACGCTCCTCCTGAGAGTGCTCACCATATCTCACCAAGAGTGCTGACCTCAGCTGTGCTCTAAACCTGGGTGTCCTCAGAGCCCATGTGTAGAGGTCTTTGGGGTGTGCTTGTCACAGGGACTCTGTTCTCATAAATGGGGTCGACGTCCTCATAAAAGATGCGAAAGAGGACACCCCGGTTTTCTTCTTCCTTTCTGCCAGGTGAGGACGCAGCAATTGGCAGCCTCTTGTAGGCAGAGGTTACTCTTGGACACGGGTCGGTGCCTTGGACTCTGCAGCCTCTGCAGCTGTATTGTTACACATCTGTCCACTCCACATGAAGAAAGAAGAGGTGACAGGGAAGGAGGAGAGAGGGAGGAAAAGATGTAGGATGGGGGAGGATGGATACAATCAAAGCACAGTATATTCTGGTATACAAATGTGGATGTGAGAACCACTGAAAATTCATAATTAATATGCTTTAATATTTTAAGGGGCTGGGAAAGTAGCTGAGTGGTAGAGAATTTACCTAGTTTGTGTAAGGCCCTGGGTTCGATTCTCAGTACTGAAAGAAATTACGGGGGAAATAGAACATAAATGAATTAAAAGCAAAGAAATACATTTCCCAGTCACAAGGAAAATTCTTTTTCTTACCTGCAAGAGCAGAACAGAAGCTCCCGACTGGGGTTATCCCTCAAAAATCTATGTTCCAAACAGCAACCAATATGACCATTTATTTACACATTAAGTAGGGTGATGTCAAACCTGGCCTGGTGAGCCTGCCTGAGCCTCCACATTCTTTCTCCGACTTCCTCTCACTCTACCCTCCTCTTCTCTGGCTGCTCTACAGTCGCTCTGGTCTCCCTCCCCCCCTCAGACATGTCAAGCTCATCTTTTGGAAGTCTGCTCTCTGAAGGGCCCCATCCATGCCTCACCTACTGACGCTTTCTGTTAGGTTCCCATATAACCCAGTCGAGAGAGTCTGTCTGTTCCATGACCTGTTTCACTGTGTAGAGCAGTGGATTGTCACTACCTGAAGTCGCCACATCTGTTTGCCTGATTCTTTCTATTTATTAGTGTCTTCGTCCTAAGATGTAAGGTCCAGGAGCCAAGGACCGATGAATCAAGGACCAAGTTGGACAAAGCTACATTGTCCAGGAGCATCCAGGGAGCCTGCCCAAGGCAGATGCTCAATGCCATTGTACAGGAGAGAAATGCAAGTTCCCCGCGGCGAACACTCGCCACAGAAATACAAACTATGGGTCTGTCCATAGATTTCTGTTACAGGACTGTAAGAAGGAGCCTTCAAGCTCCCAACTCTATTTCAAAGAAGCCTCTCAGGGTGCCTCAAGTCAACCCAGCACCATGGTGACATGAGCTGAAAAACCTGTTGGGAGTGGGAGAAAGCACACAGGACACCCGAAAGAGAAATGGCCCTGTGCCTTCCCTTGTACAGATAGGGATTTTCTGCCAAAGGTCCACACAGTGGCTCATTTTCTAGTATTTACCTCAGAAGCACAGAGGCCTCATCTCAGGGTCCTCAGCACCATGTTAAAAGGTGGGTGCACTATAATCCTGGGGAGGTGGGAGTGGAGAATTCTTAGGGCTGGCTCACCAGCCATTCTAGGCAAATATTTAAGTTCCATGTTCAAAAAACAAAGTGAAGAGAGATTATAGAAGTCATCTGACATTTACCATGGATCCTCTACACACATGCATGCACACACACACACACACACACACACACACACACAAAGAAACTCACAGAGAGAGAGAGACAGAGAGCGAGAGAGAAAGACTGTACACCATCCAGCAAGAGTCAGGATCACTTTCCTAAAATGTCTATGACATTCACAAACATGCTACAAAATTTCATATATGGAGTGTGGGAGTGTCATGTTTGAAGTTGGGGTCCACTTCAGACCTGCTGGGATTAAATGTCAGCCTTCCTGTCCCGGTTGACAAACTACGAAGGCCGATCAAATGGGATGCATGGGCCATTAAGAATGCATGTAAAACTCACCACAGATTCCAGACTATAGTTCAGTCTCCAAGAGATAATAATAACAATGATTCAAAGTATAATTACTAAGATGAAAATTATGAGAGATACCAACACCTTTTTGTTTTTTTCTACTGACTCTGCCTCTTTTAGGGATTACATGGAATGTAAAACTAATGCACACTGCTAGCATTTATAGCTTTCAGTTTAGGGAGTGGAAAGGTACACGTATGTTTGAAGGAATTATGGAGTGGAGATTCACAAGTGTGGCTCTCTCCTCCAAACATTCTTTCTGTAGGTCACAGGAAGGAAGCTCACCTGGCCACAGGCACCAGCAAGACGTCTGTGCCAGACAGGCATCTCACTGCTCTGCCTGTTTGTCGTCTTTGCATGTCCTGACAAAAGGACTGCACACCAGATGAAAACCTACCTGCCCCCGTGAGAGCCTCCTAGAACAAGGTACCTGAATCACTCTTCGGAGAGCGGTGCCAGGACCCTCCTGTAACCCTGTATCTCTCCATGCGACCTGAGTACAAGCATTGTCTTTCCTCTGCGCCAGAAAAGCAGCACGCCCGAGCCCCCAAAGCTTTCTCGTGGCACAAGAAGAAAGGGAAGCGGTCCATTTAAGTAGCTCAACATAGCAAGTTCAGCCAGCACACGGCCCCTTCGTTCAAGTAACATGAGATCTGGGAGCAGAGAAAAAGAGAAAGGCTAGAGCCCGGTCAGGGTTTTGTCTTCTTTCGTTTGCCAACGCTCTTACGGGGTGTAGGGGGAGTGAGAAAGAAAAGGGAGTTATTACCCAACATAAAAAGGATGGCACAGAACCAATGCCAAGCTGATAACTTAAGAATGGCTGAGTTGAATGGGGGAGGGTGAGATCCTCTTCCCAGTAGACAGAAAAGCTACCCCCTCAAAGCCGATTCCTCCGCAGAGCACTCCATGAGGAATGGCTGCCTGGGTCACGTGTGTTTGTTGCGTTGAGACAGGGGAGCAGTAATGAAATTATCAAATGGAAAAGAAACGCTAAGGGCGTAAAAACAGCTGGCAGAAAAGAAGTGAGCTCGCCGTTCAGCAGCTGGAAGGGGTTTTCCTGGAGTGGACCGTATTAGCAAGTAGTGTATGGCTCCGGGCTGCCGCACATGGAAGGTCTGTATGACAACGCTGAACTCAGCAGAGGGTTTAAAGCCTTTGCACAGGAAGTAGGAGCAATGCAGAACCGAACAGGGCGATGGGAAGTGGACAAGGGAGCAAAGGGAGGCAAAGGCGTAGGACAAACAATGGCCATTGTCTCTTTTAAGGTTTTACAGCTATGGTGTACAATTAAGCTGACATTTTAAACTGCTAGCACCTCTTGCCACTCAGACTTGAACAAGATCTTAACAGCACAGGCATGGGGAGCGGAGTTTTCAGCGGCCAAGGGCACGGAGCACACTCACGACCCAGAAACAGATAGAAAGTTAGGTAGATGTGATGTGTGGATACGGGGAAGGCCACTAAGGGCAGTGCCCCACCCCAAAGAAGTTTTAGTCTGCCTCGCCTTCCTCTGCTTCCCACCCTGCCCATATGGACAGATCCCCTTCCATCTGCACGTGTGTATGGGGGGGGGGTGTCACCGACTTTATTTAAATCCAAAAGACAGAATGATTCCACTAAAAATTTTAAGTCAAACTGATTATCACACAGAGCAAAATTTGGTTATGCACGTGCATGTGTGCGCGCGCACACACACACACCGAGGGATAAGGGAGAAACACATATGTGCATGCACATAGAACCTTGTAATCCCAGGAACCCAAACCAAAGAAAGGATGTGTGGGAAGTAATTTCAGCACTGATTATACCCAGGAAATCAAGTATCATAAGCCTTACCTTCCATCTGTGGCCCTCTTGTGGGTCACGTCATTCTTTCTTACCACCTAGAGAGCTTGCCCTTAGTTTTCTGTATTGGTTTTAGGACAAACATGATTTGCCTAAAGCAACAAAATACACATAGGAATAGGAAAAATATTAGAGGATATTATATTAACTGTATTCCTGGAGTCTGATATCCAACTTTCTGATTGTCATCCATGATAAGCTACTGATCCAAGAGGAAGTAAGCATAGAAGACATTCAGTCTAAGCAAAGCCAAGCTTTGAGATACGTGTGAAGACCACATGCTGCCCGTCACATGGGACAGTCACCAGGTACTATTTTTTTCTACATAAATCTACGCCTACAGTTGTACCTCTCCATCGCAAAACCAGTTTAGAACACTTGGTCAAGGACGTCATAGAATTAGGGGAATCTGAGCACTGTTGTTTAGAAAATTGATGTGTCAAACTGCCTTCTAAATATTTATGTTCTCATCCTTATACAGAGAAGATTTTTTCAATGTAGCAGAGACCCCACGGTCACACAGAATTCTAAGAATAAGTGACAGATGAGTTCTCATCCCTGAATGTCCTCTTTAAGCCTCAGAAGCATTGCGGAAGAGTGGGCAGAAGAAACATAAGAGCTGGGAGACAGAAGAAAGGACTGCAGTGAAAATCTCATCCTCTGGGCAAGATAAAGTCACTGCAACCCTAAACTTCCCACAACTATAAATGCTCGCCTTAGTCTACAAAAGGGACCTGTCTTTTGTCAGGCGGAGATTGAGGGTGGGCTCAAGGAGATCTACCCCTCAAGGCTGAACTGGTTGCTACTGATAGGTTCTGGGAGAGGGGGAACCACTGCTTTCAGCTTTGTGCCCACTGATACATCAGGCTCCAGTAGGTAGTTCCAATCCAATGGTCTACAATTGGCCATGTCTAAATGGGTCAGAAAACAAAACCAATACTCGTGGATGTGGGAAAAGGAGTGTGAGTAACAGAAGTGAGTGGGGAAGAGGGTTGACAGGGATGGGGGAGAGGACAGGGGCAGAAGAAGCAGAATATGTTATATACATGGAATACAGACAAGGATGTTGATTAAAAGAATCTATGCATGTGTCAAAATTCATCAAATTATGTCTGTGTATATATATATATGTGTGTGTGTGCATGCACACACACATACACATAAAGTTTAAACACACACACAAAGATATAGATTGTTCAAGACAAACATGCCAAGACTTCAAAAGAAACAGCATCCTCCTTAAAAGGACATTTTTAAGGCAAAATATTCTCAAGAGCTATCACTAAAACTAATATTCTTTTTTCTTTCAAATCATTGACCCGGTATTACCTCACTGATCCCTTCTGTGATAACTGGATCTGGAATGTTCCTTGAAGGCTCACCTACCTTGCTGAGGTTCAGTTAGGAGAGGCACGTCACCAGCAGTGTGCATTTGAGGGTATATTTTTGCCTCCTATCCCTTTCTCCTTATCTTGTTTCCAGCCACCAGGGGAAAACAGCTTGGCTCTACCACACTCTCTGCCGTGATGTTCTGTCTTGTCTTTACCCAGAGCGATGGAGTCAAGCGATAACGCTCTGAAACCCTGAGCCTAAAGAAGCATTTCTCCTTTCAAGTTGCTTTGCTAAAGATTTTGTCACGGATAGGGAAACCCAACCATCTTCTAACCCTTTCTGCCATTGCCACAAAATAGGTAGAGAAATGTCAAAACCAAGACAAACCCCAATGTCCAGGCTACCAAGCTCAGAAAAACCAGAGTAACTCAACTGGTTTCTTCTGTTCATGGTATCCACCAATGAATTTGAGCTCCAGAAATATTGGCATGCCACTTGTCACTAATTTGCTTATAGATTTACTTCAAGTAAGTGCTTATAGGGTACTTCATATTTTCCTAAATCACATTGATTTTGTGAGCATGTATGTGGGTGTACGAGTGCTGTGTCACAATGAAGGAACTGATTCTCTTTCCAGGGATTGAACTCAGAGTATCAGGCTTGGCAGCAAGCACCCTCACAAGCTGAGCCGTTTAATCTACCCTGAGGGTACATGCAAATACATGTCTCTCCTCATGACAACTGAACTGTTTCCATGGAGACTTAAGTGATGGGATCCATGTATTCATCATTCTCTGCTGCATGTAGTACCAAACATCAAATGGCTCCTGACACAAACAGTGTTGGCAACATCTATATGAGAAAGTAAGAGGCAGTTGTCCAGGCTGAAAAATTACATGGGCTCAATCATAAAGGCAGTTAGCATTCTCTGTGTGAGGAATGGTTTTCTATAGTAGTTAGCCCAATAAGGGTGTATAATTTCTGAACTTCCCTCTTCCTCTTTGTGAAAATTAGCCAATCACATTAGACTATAAGGCCACACTCTCATCAATGGGATGAGATGCAGTTACTACAAACACCATGGGTAAAAGACAGAGATCATTTTGGGCAAAAAGAGTGTGCTTGCTAGTCCTTTTGGGGTTCTGGCTCACCCTTTTTGAAAACATCAAGTGCCTCACCAAATCACTATCACTTTGTTCATGTGTTCCTTTGCAAAACACTAAGATAATGCTTCTCAACACCTATAAAGAGAAAAATGTTGTTAATGCACTAGAAACTACAGACTATTAATGCCACTAAACCCTGCATGCAAACTTCATGCAGCATCTAGTTAAGTTCACTTTCTATATCATTAAGAAGTGTTGTCAAGGATGTGGACTCTAGGTTGAAGGAAGGGATCTAGTCTTGTCTAAAAGTCTGATTTTTGGACTTCATGTGCAAACTCAGAAGCTCCCACCAATGCCTCTTTGTTTACCAAGTGAAGAGTCAAGATTTCAACACTCACCAAAATGGGAAAAACTCACCAAAGTTTTTCCCATTCGTCTCTCTGGAAGATAGCAAGATATTCAATTGCCATTTCCCTTAAGCTAGGATGGCTTCCTCTGTTCTGCATTTTCTTTTAAAGAATCCTAACGAGCTCTGTCCTCAGTGCAGTAGCCAATCAACAGCTGCAGGCTGGGGTGAGCATGGAGCAGGAAGGAAGCAGTGGTTCCAGGCCACAAAGGTCTTTCTTAGTCCCACAGTTTGCGCTCTCTGCTCTGAACCATTTGTCATTATTGCTAATGTCTAAGTATGATGTTTTACATTGAAGTCTCAGTGAGGTAAGAGCTATTGTGCTAAGTTTTCATCGAGAAAATTGAAACACCTGGAGACTATATGATACATTGAAGATCACAGAGGTAGCAAAGTAATAAGCCCAGGCCCTGTGCTAGACAATGGTGCATTTAATAGCAATGTGGCTCAGTGTGATATTCATCACTTTGTACTTGTCCATATCTGCCCAACTATGCTAGGGGTGGAAGAGACATCTTCTCTTCTTCCTACACTGCACATCTTAGCTTTGGTCATGCTCTGCTTCAGGGTCAAGGATGCCAAGGCACCAGGTGAGATGCGATCCGAGTGCCTGCCAAGGAAGGAACAGATGGTTCTGCTAAATGGTGAGATCAAGTCCCCGCCACAGTAATGGCAATCAGCATCCCACATACAATAATTCCTTCCAGTTTGCCTGGCAGGTGGGATGAAGTCCGAGGGAAAGTTCATTCTTCTCTCCCAGCTTTGAGCTTTCAAGCTGTGTTTTCCCCCAATGAAAAGGATCTCTTTGCTGTGATTCTTTGCAAGATCCATTTAGCCATGACAGAAGAACCTCCTATTTGGAGTTCATCTGCTGGACGGGGACCAATATTGGGGGGTGATTAAGTTTCAGGGAGATTTACATCTACAACAAAGGTCCAGGGACAGTCAGAAGAAACACAGTGCTACCTGTGGAGGTCAGGGGATGTTACAGGAGTGCTTTTTCTCCACGCATCACGTGGAATTCCAGGATGGAACACGGGTAGTGGGTAGGCTTGGCAGGAAACACTCTTATCCATAAACCATTTCTTATTCTTTTTTTTAAAAAAAACAGATTTATTTATTTATTGTATGTACAGTATTCTGTCTTGTCTATATGTCCTTAGGAATACATACAGACAGAAGATACCAGATCTCATTACGGATGATTGTGGGCCACCATGGGGTTGCTGGGAATTGAACTCAGGACCTCTGGAAGAACAGCCAGTGCTTTTAGCCACTGAGCCATCTGTCTAGTCCCCTAAGAGTACTTTTAAAGGTGTATTCCTCATCACAATAACAGATTCACCTCCGCAGAGACGTCTATGACATATGCTCGCTATAATTTGGAACACCTACAGGCCTTCTGACCTAGTCAAATTCTCTAGGTTGGTTAGCTATAACCTGTAAAATTATGCAGGGATTTTCCCATCTGTGGAATGGTGAGAATCATGTGTGGCTGATCTGCTTAAGAAATGTAAGAAACATTAAAGGAGACAGAGAACACAGAACACAGAGAAAATGTTTAGAACAGAATGCAGGCACCACTGGACTCCCTCAACTTACGTTCATTTGCAGAGTCACCTGTTGTCCCAACTTGTTAAGGCTTCTGTCCTTTGTCCTCATCTGTCTTCAGAGGCCCTGGCTCCTCCCTGGCCCCATAGTTAGTTTTCTTGGTTGTGGGACTCAGAAGAAATATCTGTGCCTGTCTCTCTCTCTCTCTCTCTCTCTCTCTCTCTCTCTCTCTCTCTCTCTCGTGTGTGTGTGTGTGTGTGTGTGTGTGTGTGTGTGTGTGTTCAGTAAACAAATATTTACATCGAATGGTGAAAGTTTATTTTTGATGCAGCTTTGGTATCATGATTATGAAAATTTAACCCAACTCAATTCAATCTCCCATTCAGAGATTCTCGACTTCCTATGGCAGTCCAAAGAGAGTGCAAGGATCTAATTCACCCCAAGATGCCTTCTCTGATGCCCCATAGAAAAAGTCCTTCCTGTCATTCCCATCTCCTGCTTATTCAGCCTGGATCAGAAACTATACCCCAGTAGGGACAGAGAAGGCCATGTACCATAATGACAAGCGGAACATACACTGTTAAACGCGGTGAGATTTGTCAGGAATGGAAGGCATCCAAAACTCATTCTAAAAAAGTAGCAAAGCTGTCATAATAAGAAAAGAAATAAAGAGTAAAGCTGTTTTAATGACTCTACCCCTTATATTCTCTGAGGGCACATCTCATCTCCCGGTAGCTGCCCTCCGTCTGGGAGCTGTATGTTCTGTGCATGGCTCCTGTCCTCCAAGCCATGGAGCTTGCTGCATATAGAACTCATAGCTGATATTTTCTTTATTTCTGTATTGGAGACAGGCGTCATCATTCTGACCTCCACTGGCTCGAAGGAAAATCCCCTGGTTTTCAACTTGACCAACCCACTGAAGAATGTCTTGCATCTCTGTGGCTGCTTTCAAGGTTTTTCTCGACAACTAGTTTTCAGACATGAACTCTGATGTGCCTTTCTCGGGACTCCTTTGTATTTATTCCATTTAGCAGGCAGCTCGGCTCACCACGCTCCCACCAACACAGTGTTCACCTAGTTGATAATTAGTTGACCTTCAGGAATATCTTGACTTCCAATTTCTACCAAATGTGGAAGGTCTTCAGACATTTTTTTTTCTTTCAAACGCTTCTTCGGTGCCTCCTTCCCTTCTGGTACTCCAAAGATGCAAATGTCTGCTGTTTTGTTATCATGGTACAGGCTGTCTATTTAAAAGTTTGCATGGGCTCCATTGCTTGCAGTGGTCAGTCCTCAAGCCTAGGTCATCTTATCTACTCTGTTATTAACCTACTTAGGGAGTTTCTCAGTTATGACATTCTGATTCTATAATTTCCGTTTTATTCTTCCTATAACCTAATTGTAATGAGATCTATTGCTTTTTCCTCTGTTTCAAGGAAAGCCACGATTACATTCTAAAACATTTTTAAGAAGTCTACTCTAAAACTCAACATTTCATTCACTGTGGTATTGACATCCGTTGATAGTCTTTTTCACTCGACTTGTAAGTTTCCATATCATGGTGAGTGATGAATTTCTTGTATTTTGGACATCTTTATAAGACTCCATGGGGCTCAGGAACCTATTTTCTCATCTATCTTTTAAAATTT